TATATATATATACATTATACAATAATATATATGTATATATATTATTTGATAATACATGAATAAGATTCGAGTTACAAATTATGATACTATTTTTCTTTTTTCGAGCACATAAAAATTTTGAAATTTTGTTCCTAATATAAGAGAACAAATAATCGCAAGAGATATTATTTTCAAATTTTACGAAATAGTATACTGATATTATATTATTTATGACTCTCCTCCGAATATTCCGTAACTTGGTACCAATCCTAAAGTTCCAAAATGAGGGAAGTAATATCACTATGGGTTTCAACCAATATAATATATAAAAAATAGTACTGTTAGCTCTCTAGGAAGGAACAATTATCTGTTAATAATAAAGATATATTTACAGTCAATTAATTTTTCTACATAATTTACAATTGCCAACTGCTAATGGCAGTGTTAACAACGCATAATAGTTTTTTCTTTTTAAACTTTATTCCAACAATTTATTGGATCAAAGAATCATATAGATATTAAATTAGATTATTTGCCAATCATAATTGGTAACTGTACATATTTAACATAAGAAATGTACACAACGCTGTAATTGTCGTATTCACTAATTACAATGGTTAATAAACATGTTGTAACAAATCGAGTCATTAATCGGGATTGATGTATATACAGAATGAAGCATTTAGAGCGTGATATATTAATATTTTAGGAAAATACCAATTTTAGAAGAAAACGTTTAAGGAATGAAAATTGTGGGAGATTCCGAAGAGAACATATAACGTTTACAATAATCGATTTCATTTTTGCGGAATGGCAATGATCATATCTTTCCCATTATATATAATTCTTTTTAACATTTGAGAGTAAGTTTTAGGCGTACCCCTATTGAATTTTTATATTTGTATTAATAGAAACGTGCTCGTAAATGCTTCTCTATTTTGTTATTTTATATGTACGTGTATGTTTCAAAGCTTACACGTTTGTGTTACTACAAAGTTACTACAAAGTTGTGTTACTACAGCTTTTGGACTAGCGCAAAACTTACATTAATGTTAAAAGGATCGTGAATTTGCCTTAATCTCAATCTTAATCTAAATTTATTAGGAAAAATAATAATATTTCATTAAGAAAGCAAAAAAGAAATATCATCTTTATGATTCACTCTGGCAAATGGCACTCTGATAAAACTATTATCGTCGTTATTATATTTCCTTCAAAATCCTGCAATTATATTTACAGAAAACGTCTTTTCCTAAAATTAAAGTTTAAAGGAGATTAATATGTCACGCTTTATATGCCTTATTCTATATACAAAATATATACAGAGATAATTGATTTAGGACTATCCTTTTTTTCTTTTTTAGAGGAGCTTTTTTCTTTTTAACATATGTTTGCGATTAATACGACTTGTTCCAAAATTATCAGACCGACACGTTCAGCAGGAGGTCTCTGAGAGGAAAAAAGACGATACAATAAATAAACGGTAGCGTGAACTTGTCTTACCCAAACAGCAATGATTTAAAGCGATATTTTTCAATTGTGAAACAGCAGTAATTAATACACGGTAAATGACAGAATTATGAACTAATTTGCAGAAAATACAATAATAGTAATAATTAACTAAGACCTAATAACGTGTGGACATACAATAGATACGATACTTTTAATAAGTTGTATTACATCGTAATTTCTTAACGTGTAATTATACACACTACACGAATTAAAATATTTATTTATGCATGTTACATTCATTCATTCCATTCAAATTGCTATCTGGGCGTCTATATTCTGAGGTATGTGGTTACTAAAAATGTAAAAATATAAAAACTTAATACAGATGAAGAGGTAGTCATTCGTGTCGTGAGTTAAATAAAAATAATTTTCTTTCTTTTCAAATAAGAAACATTATTAAAAATGAGAATAATGATAAGTCTAGACTGCTTTCAATTTCATGTTTAACATAAAAAACCGGACGATTTGAAAATTCGGGAACATCAGCATATTTTATATCGACGTATAAGGTCAAATCTGACAGGTGGACACAAATCTTTGCTCACGCGATAAGTACATTCGCGTTATTCTCAGGAAAATATTTAATTTCATTGGTAATAATGATCGTTACTACTATTCCTCTTGATTTGATTTAACACTCGAGTCTTAATCTAATATGAGACATCAAGTTTCTCGTGCTTATCGACAAGCACTTTACACCTAGTTAATTGTATTGAAAGATCGGTGGAAAAAGTGAAAGTAGTAAAATAGCCTTTTTTTTGCAGCAGGTACGTGTTCGATACATGAATAAAAACAAGAGGAACCGTAACGGATAATATTACCAATTTACCAATGCAAGAAAAGATTTCTGTCTCTGTTGCCGTTTAACTTTGCATCTGACACAATATGTAATTTCCAATGGCTTCAAATACCACAGGTGTCAAAAAGACAACCTTCACAGCACTGAAGAATTTCTTTGACTATTGGCTAAACAATAATAATAATAATAGTAATAATTAATAAAATTAATAATAAAATTAATAATAATCTATTAGTGAAAAAATTACTACTTTCGATCACTATCTTAACACTTACTAAATATTCTTTTCTATTTAACAACTGCGATACGTTTAATATTATCTTATGCATTTAGAATTAATCGCTAGACAATATAGGACCACATAAACCTTGCTCCAATGATTCTTTTATTTCTTAAACAGAATCTTTATTATGATACAACATACAATAGTAAAATATCGCAATTTGTAGTTATTCCTTTCCGCCACCTATTTGAGAAGTAATAAAGAAAAATACATGAATAAGATCCTAAAATTAGTGAAGACATTAAGTAGCTAATGATTTTCCTCAAGTAAGCAACAGAAATATATTTATTCATTTCATTATTCAACTATACACAAAATATTGTAATTACATATTTAACATGATCTGTACTTTACAACATAAATTGGAATGTTAACTAGTATTTACAATATAGTAGCCCCGCTGAGTGCAAGTGTGACAAAAATGCATATTTTTTTCTTTATAGGAAATTCTAAGGATGCCCAGGTGGCCGTGCGACAAACATATATGTATATCACATGCAAGTTCATTGTCATTCAAGTATGCCCATTGAATCCCTTGCAGAAGCACGATTGATCTGGAGAGAGAATTTGATTCTCTTTTAGCAGTACGATATATTTCATTCGAGTGAGAGCAAGGCTTCAGTGTGGTATGCTTAAAAATAAATTCGCCTCTAAGTATTAGAAAAATAGCTTTACTTATTTAGACAAAAGTTGCCTGCCCTTCGACCAATATTTTTTGTTAACCACCCTTTGTACTGTTTTCAAGGCATCTTGCTTACTGTTTCCCTGCGCTTATACCCATTAATTAGGGGTAATTTTCCCCACGGATACATCTCTAAAACTTCAACATCAAATATAGAAAATATATGTCATTGTGTTTATATATTTAGATACACTTTATAATACATATATTCTATGTATGTGTTTGTGTGTGTGTATGTGTGTGTAAAATAATGTACGTCTATACTTGATTTGTATGCACAGGTATTTCATGAACCAGGGCCCCTTTACTTGGTCCGATACCTTAGCAGCATTTAGCTCTTAATAGGTACTTTGAGGTCCACTCTGTCTCACGATTAGGGGCATTAACAGGACTTTCGAGATACACATATACATACATACACATATACATACATACACGCACATATATATATACATACATATATATATACATATGATGTATTATGTATGTATATATTAACGGGCTTTTTTCTTATTCGATGGCAAAGATTACCAAGTAAAACTGATCGTTTCATTTTCTCTTGGCGTGAAGCATCTCCATGAGAAGCGTTTGCGTTGGTGCGCCTCCATTACAATGTTTCTGATAAAGATGCTCTTCTCCCTTGGTTGCCACTTCGTGAATATCTGGTAATACTGCTAACAGCTTATTAAATTTATCCTAAACAAATTGAAAATGAGAACAATTAAATATCTGGTTAACTTGTTTTAGATGAAGTATATGAGAAAGCGTTTGATGATAAAACGCACCAGTACAGATGGGTGATGGCTTAACGTGTATTCCATAAGCGCCTGTTGAACCTGCTCGTGACCTTCTTGCACATGTTTCTTATTCACTAGTCCACGGACATCTGCAGTACATAAAATAATATATTAAATATATACACTTATGTAAAATATGTGAAAAGTTTAATTTGAGTATTACAAGATATCGGAATGAGGTTTATTTGAAAGTGGAAACAAAGGATGAAAAATCAAGTTATATTCGTGTGATAAATGTTACGTTTCGTTCATGCAAAACGATTGTGTATTGGTACATTTTTAAAAAGCTACATAAAACGTAAAGCTACATAAAACGCATGATCAAATGAATCTTACAACTTAATTGTTATCAACTTAGTTGTCTCTCGAAATTCATCATTAACAAGACGAATATGAATGGATTTAATTTTACTTACCGTGATTCAGCAGCATTAGGAATTTCATGCATATATATTCGGGAACGTCGAATTTTAGTTCTTGAAGTGTCTTGGATAGTTCCCTGAAGGTTTCGGCCAAGGAAGGAACTCCGAGTAGGCCGAGACAGAGAAGATCAAACTTTTGGCCATTGTGAAGTGTCGTCTCGTCGGGTAGATTATTGTGTAACCTGTGATGAAGGTGATCTAGCACCAACATATCCGACCAAGAGTGTTGTAGCAACTTCATTTGATCGTCAACCTAGTAAATAATTGCCGTGCAAATGTTAAATATAATGAATAAATATACAAAGAAATACAGATGTAATTATATATGCTATTTGGCATTTTAATCCCATTTTACAAAAAATCATACACAATATAACGATGAAATGTTTTCAGAGAGAATTAAATATAAAAATATTAAATATAAAATATGCGATAAATATATTTCTAAAGAGAGAAAGGAAAATTTATAAATTGAATTAAAATTGTAATCGGAATTTATAAACAAATATTAATTATAACTCAAAAGTATTCGTTTTATTAAAAGTTTTTTATAACAAAAAATACTTAAAAAATATGGTTGGTACATGTAATGATTTATATTTATATTATAAAATTAGAAAAAAGCATATAAAAAAATCTTCTTTAGAAGAATGACACGATTTTAACAAAATTATAATGAAGATCAGACAGCAATGTACCATATTGTCGACGAAAAGTTTCAACAAAATGGCCTCGATCTGCTTTGCATTGTCGTTAACAAATCCACCGTGTTGAAGCAAAAATAAAAAGTTATTACAAAACGACCGGTTAAAGTATGCAATTTATAATTAACGCGGTCCTGCTTTGGGGCAACCGCCATAACCCAGAAACGTATCTTGTTATGACCTAGATATGAGGCGATGCTTGAAATCATTCAGTGATTGTGCAATGCTGCTGGTTACCTCACATCCCCGCTCATAGCACCGAGCAGGCCAGGCAACGAGTTATTTATCGGTAAGAACGAACTTTTCTCGTCGAGGAGATTCTCGACAAAATTGTTGTAATTACTTCTAATATGCGCATATGTTATTATATGTTGATGCCTCTCGTTCAGTTTTAGATTAAATTAAAATATTGGAAAAAGACAACAATCTCAAATTCGCGATAATGGAGAAAAGAAAAAAAGGAAAGAAAGGGAGGGGGGGAGAGGGGGGAAAGCTGTTCAATGCATCGTTCTACAAAAGGTCAGATATTCGAGATACTCACCTTGAGATCTTTGAAGAACGTCGAATTTCTAGCCCAGTCTACCTGCGAAAACAAATTTTGATCGAGCACTTTGCACATTAATTCAAACAAGTCCACTTCACACTGATTATACGTTTGGCTTTGCAACAGTCCGAAGAGAGACGTTTGCCACTCGCGGTCGTCGATCGACGACAGAAACTCCCTTATCATCGGACTAAGTGTCTTAAGAGCGACAACGGGGTTGGACGCGTAGCTCGGCATCCCACCGCCGTGTGGCTGCACGGATTGCTCGCCGAAGTTAAAGACCTTCGTGCCGGGGGTAGTTGAGTTGGCGGCCCAGAGTCTGCTGTCCAGACCGGGGTTGAGATTGTGCAAGTGATTGCC